AACAAAAACTTTTCGAGGTATAAATAGCCATGCCATCCATATGCTCCAAAGATTTTGCAATCTTTTCCATTCTCTTTGGATAAAAAGTGATTAATTCTTACTTTGGTAGATGTGCTCTCATATAAATATCTTGTTTCTCATCTTGGAAGTGGAAAATAGTCTGGAAATTTTATGACAGTTGTGTGTAGTAGGGTGGTAGTGCTGTGGGAAGTTCAATGTGATGAAGAAATCAAAATATTCTCCATGACCAAAGTTCATAACTTCACTAATTGACTTTGGCTTCTTTTAGTTAATTTTGTTTACTAAGTTATTGACTTCCTATATAAGAGCAAATTAATGAGATTGAGAAGCAAGATATATAAAAATTAGTAATGCAAGTCAGTTCAGCAAAAGATTTAAGAAAGTACATTTTGCCTTTCATTGTACATTAATCTTTTAAGATTCATACTCTTCTGTCTTTATTTATCCAGTGGGAAAAATTAAAAGTTTATTCATATAATCTACTCATCTAAAATATGCATATTTTCAAGATGTAAATAATAAATATTAATATAAATAAATATGTTAAAATTAAAAGGCAATTTGAGAGATGCTTTATATTCCTAAAGAAATTGGAATAATTATTTACTATATTCTAATCCTTTATAGAAGTCTTACATGGCTGAATATTGAATTGGGTTAAGTGAGAAAAATATCAGAAAGAAAAAGAGAGAGGAAGGGAGAGAAAGAAGGGGAAAAGGAAGCTAGGAAGACAAGAGAGATGGGGAGGGAAGGAAATGAATATTAATAGAGAGATAACACATTTTGAATTCCAGTTACTAAACCTAAGAAAGAAAAAGTGCTGGGAATTAGTAGATCAATATTGGTGAGTTAAAAATAACTGTCTCTTTAAGTTTATTTTACTCTAGAAGAATGCCATAGATGGTAGCTTAAACAACAGAATTTTATATTTCCCTGTTCTGGAGCTTGAGATTTCAAAATCTGGTTCTTGTAAATAGAGTATTCTACTTTTCTATAACATCAAGACAAAAGTTAAGCAAAATGGGATTTAAAAACATATATTTAATATACAAGATTTTATATTTTAGTGACTACTAATGGACCATTCTGTCCACATTAGATTCCACATTTTTTTTAGAGATAGATGGTAAACACTGTTAGTTCAGAAAAAGACTATAGAGTTAACAAATACATTAATAGGAATAAAGATTATTATAGAATACGGTGAATCATAATAGTTACAAGCGATCAGAAGGAGCTTTGAATATTCTACTCCATACCAGGCTTAGGTGAAAAGGATAGCACAACAGAGCAACTATAGTCAACAATATGTACATTTACAAATAACTAAAAGAATGAAATCAAAACGTTTCTAAAACAAATAATGGGTAAATGCTTGAAGTGTTGGATACCCCAATTACCTTGATTTGATTATTACACATTGTATGCTTGTATGAAAACATTACATATATCCCCTAAATGTGTAAAACTATTATGTAACCAAAATAATTAATTCTTCAAAAAATATAGACTTCTTACTCTTAGGAGCTGAGTAGTTGCCTGGATTGTTTGTCTCTACATTATCATTGAACTACAGAAGAATGTGACATAGAAGGCAGTATGTTAATTTTGTTGGCTTTTGACTTTCCTCATTTCTTCCTCTTGAAGTATGATATAAAATTTTATTTTTTCTAATTTATTTATCACACAAACACATGAAAATAAAAAGCAAAAATGAATTTTACAGGTAGTCCCACCAATCTGATTTCATAAATTTTTTTTACATAGATTTTATCAGGTCAGTAGCTAATTCTGGGTATACAATTCTCAGCAATATGTCTTAACTGGAAATGAAACTGTATGGAAAAGATCAATCAATCAATCTCATAGATTTGTAGAAAACTAAAGAAAGCAACTACATTAATAAAGCTCTTGAGTGGCATTATAGAGACATTGGTTTACAATAATGATAGTAATTTTGTTATCATTATTCATTTTTTCTGATACCAGAATAATGAAGACAGCTTAACAGAATAAAGTAGCAAATTATCCTTATGAGTAAAAGATGCAAATATTCACATTAAATAAATATTAATAAAACACCATTATTTTAACTATATGCTTTACACATTAATAAGGCCAAAGCTCTCATTTTAAAATCAAATTTAATTTAAAATGTCAGGAATAAATAGAAAAATACTATAATCGATGTATTCTTTGGGAAGGGAAACACTGGGTAAGAATGAACTATTTCTTACTCAAGAAAGTCAGGGCATGGGGAGTGTGTGTGTGTGTGTGCGCGCGCCTGTGTGTGCATGTGTGAGATATGTATACACATTTGAGTATATGAGCAACATAATCACATTCTCCCCCAAATTAAGGTAATTGTAGGTATTTTTGTTTGCTTGCTTTAAGTCAGGAGGAAAAAATACTGGAAAAGCAATTGTAAAATAAGCCCATGTAAAACGATGCAATAAGAGAGAGAGAAGAGTAGAAATCAGTGAAAAAGATAACAGAAAAACAACATAAAATATCAAAAAAACCAATAACTGTTTCTTTAAAAATTATAATAGAACTAATATTATTTGACCTAAATTGATAAAAACAAATATTTAAAAGTTAAGATAAATTAGTAAGGCTAGGCATAAAATGAGCCATCATTAATATTCCTCCTACAAGTATTAAAATAAGAATAAAGAACCATCATGAAATATATTATGACAATACCATGAACCACTTAGATACAAGGTACAAATTTATTGAAAGATATAAATTACCAACATTATGGAAGAATAAATAGAAATCCTGAATATATCTATTTGACCAAGGAAAGTTAATTCTATGCTCATCAAGAGAAACTGTATCTCATTTTTAAACTCTTATTTTTTTTTTTACTTTATGTCTTATATATTAAGGTCTGTCTTCATTTTGTCTTCACAAAGAGTGATATATTTTCTAAGTCATCATATGTCTTGGGTTTTATCACTATTACTTATTATTCTTTGATTGGGCAATATTTCTTCAGCAAAAACTTTACAATGAAAAATAAATACAAAGACCACTTGTTTGAGTTTAACGGTTTTCACTGAAAATACCTGCAAACCTTTTTCACTAAACAAAGTAACATAATGCCTCATATAAATAGACATTTATATATGAGAGATTACAGGCATAATTGTTATAAATACTTTATCTAAGGATTGCTATATGTTTTTTTCTGCCTCTTAATTCTACAATTCTCAGCTGTAAACTTAATCTCTAAACATGTTTTCTTGAGGTCAAGGTGTCTTCTTTGTGGATTTTTGGATGAATGTTTCCTTGTTCATTTGAAACAGGAGATTGAGAGATCTCTTTTTTAATCGGAAACTAGAATTACTTTTTTTTGGTTTAAATATGCTACCTTGGGCATGTGCACATAGTTACGACAATAGCAATTTTAAGAAATGTTGCTCTTAATTTGAGCTCCAAATTAGTGGTTGATAATTTTAGTCTCCATGATCTAAAAGTATCTTGTGATTGTAAGGAGGAACAGTTGATATAATCACTATCATCAAAATAACAACCTAATTTCACATGCTAAAAAAGAAAAACGACAACTGCTTCTCTTACTGTTGACTTTTAATAGCCTTTAGGTAAGTTTCAAATTAACACATTTTTATTACTTATTCCTTAATAAACATTGATTTTACCTAGAAGTTAATTGAGATAATTTCTGATTACTTTAGCCAGTCTCCAGCACAGCAGGACACAGCTGCCCCCATCCATAAGGATTCAGAATTGCTTACGTTCGCTATGGAGAAAAGTTATGTCTAGAATCCCTGTTGTACTATATTGTTCTGCATTTAAACACTGGGTTTGAAATTGACATTGGTAACATTTAAAAAATGAAATTTTGTCATTTATTGACAAACCAAATTGTAGATGGATTCTTGCACAAAGTAAAGATTCTCTTCTGAAGGACTAGGAGGTAACTAGGTGAGCCTGCTTGTTGTACATTTGTAGCTAATGTGCATTATTGTTCCTTTCTTCAAATTTAAAATAATGCTCCTTATAACTTAAATATTTTAATAATATATGTCTATTCGTGGATATATTGTATATTACATGGCCTGGCATAATGTGAGGTCTTGTGATTTGCAGAGAAGTTGTGGCACATAGGTATCACAGACAATTGTAATGAACCTAAAAGAGAGCCATAGGATTCTAATCCGGGAATCCCACAGAAAAAAACAAACAAATGAACAAACAAACAAATGAACAAAAACAAACCTAATTTATCTTCAGAAGTAAAAAGTCCTAACCAGGGTAAGAAAGCACATAGAACACTTAATAGGGAGTCAAATGAAAATAAATTTAAAAATGTGTTCTGCTAAGTATGGCAGCATCATGCAAATATGAGTTCTGGAGGAAATTGACGGTCCTTGGAGAGAGGCTACTTAGAGGCTTGGTAGAAATACGGACTGCAGAAATGGCTAAGAACCAAAGCCTTACTAAAAGTAGAAAATGATGTAGAAAAAGAAATCTTTAGGGAATGTTAAACCAGAGAAAGTTTCATTTATTTCTCTTTGTTGAAGAAACCCCTATAGAGACAGAAACTATTATGCTCAAACTTAGAAATGAGGAAAGCCATCAAACTTTACCACCTTAGATTCTTTTCTACTGTTAGTCCTAGAAAATTCAACACAAAAATAAAAAAAAAAATTGTGAACATTGAACTCATCAAAGTTACCACAAGAATAAAAGAAAGCATGAGAAGTATGTATTTTTAAACAAAAACATTCTCAAAACAAAGCTAAGAAACAAAGTAAAAGCATAACACACCATTCTGATATGAACAAAATGTAATTAAACAAGCATTTGCAAATTTGATTTTCAGAATTCAAATGATATCACAAATCAAGCATGTAATTAATTAATTGATCAGCAATGGCTATTAAAATAAACAAAAGATAACAGCACATTATGAACTTTTCCATTGGAAAAACAGCAGTGCTTAGTACATAATAGAATTAACTAACTAACTGACTAAATAAATAAATAAATAAAACTTTAGATCTAACAGAATTTTACAGGACTAAAGAGAGCAGAGGGGCATGTCACATTGCACCACAGGGATGCAATCAGCAATATCAAATGGGGTAATACTCTCAGGACAAGCAAATGGTGTGTTCCATAAATGATTAAAGCAGGGTAAAAATGCAAGTTGAAGCAACTTTATGAAGTCTAATTTTATAATAAACATGTTTACAAATCAAGATATAAATGTTGACATTTATAAATATAAAAGTATAATGTTTTGGAAAATATTAGATAATGCAAATAGAAGCAAAAATTATTTAATTTGGTTGTTATGTGTCATGAGATAGTAACCACTGTTAGCATATATTTAAATAATCATTTGTGTCTTTGTTCTATTTTTCCCCAAAAAGTATGGTTTTGTAACCAAAATGTGCAAAATTGCCAAGGTTACAGATAAACAAATTTTTCTGTGTCTGTAATGCTATATTTATTAATGTTGATGTTATATTTATTATAATATGAAAATATTGTGCACACTAAAATAACGTGTCATTTTTTCTCACAACAATTCTTGTATTAAACCTGTCTTTGAATTTTTCATTAATATTGAAAATAAACCTTTACTTTAATAATTCAAAATATATTATTACCTTCTGCTGCCAGTCCAAGAATTACTAGGGAGAGCAAGGCCTTAAGGTCTGTTGAATTTCTCTTTACAGTGACCTAATCAAAGAAACACTGATCTAAAGAAAAATTCAGTCTGTGCATTCTGAAACACATAGAAAACAGTTCTGTTAAAGAAAATGAAGAATTTGGAAAGCTTAATACTTCACAAAATTTTGAATTATTTTATTGATAATTTCAATTTTAATGTCCTCTACAAAATTTCAAAATATCTCACAATTTTTAATTGATTCATATATTCTGAATTATATTAAATGATAAAATAAAGTAGAATATTCACAAACAACAAATGCTCTTTATACAATTAAGGCACTCAAAAGGCACATTATTAATAATTCTAGATTATTAATGTTAACATGGTTGTCATTTAAGAAATAAGATTCTTACATTTTACAGTGAAAATGGAAAGCACATTAAGAAAAAAGGAGCTCAGATTTGTGTCAGTTAATGTATGTATTTACTTCACATTATACTTAACTGAAAAATGATTAAACATGTAATTTATATAATCTGTATAACAATAAAATAATAGTCAGTTTTTCTAAACACACCAGTGTAATTCTATTATAGATCCTCTAAAATTATTAATAGAATAATTGTGAAGAGCACACATTTGGAGGTGAAATTTCTGGATTCAAATCTAAGCCCCTACTAAGCAGAAGTTTGATCTTGGGTGAATCAAGATCCCTTAGCTTTTTCAACATTAAAATAGGAAAATAATGCTGCTTACCTCATCAGATTATGGTGAAAATAAAAATGATTACTATCTGAAAAAAGTATTTTATAAAATCTAAATATGGTTATTACTATTATTATTTCTCACAAAAATACTATGTCTACTAACTAGTATTAGCAATACAGAAGGTAGTATCATTAGAATTTTAACTGCAATGAAAACTCAACAACCTCTCCTAACAATTTTTTGCAGAGTGGTAATTTAAAATTATTGATCATGAAGTGGTTCTTAATGAACACCTGTAATACGTTAGTGTTGTATTTTATACAAGTCTGTGAAAGCATTTAATTTGTACAGGTTATGTGAAAAATTGTAAGCATATTATTGAATTTTTATGACAGTCTTGAGACGTAATTTTCTAATTCATATTCTACAAATGTTGAAACTGAGTTTTATAGTATAAATATTTGGTAGAGCCAGTACTACTTTCTTCAGACAAAGGAAATCTTCAGTCGTTTGCCTATAGCATTATAATTAAGCCACTTTTATGCTTAAAAAATATAGTCTCCATGTGATTATTTTTATGATGTTGGAGTAATGTAACATGTCACATTATCTTTTTAAACAAGGTGTAGGAATATGGGAAGGAATTTTAGCCTAAAGACTAAGAGAGCTGACTTGCTTAAATCACAGGATTCTTGTGCGGCTCCAAGGAGATGTTTGTGGAAATGTTCTGTGAACTGTGGAAACACATGCCATTGGGACACTACAGAGCTTTCAAATTGTTGTGGTGGCAGTATTTTTACAAAATAGAATATCTAAAAATTTTCTGATAAATCAGTGTGAAAATCCTACATACACGCAGGTGGAGACGGTTAACTTTTTCATTTTATTTTTGTTTTGGTATTAATTTTTTAATGAGATAGGGTCTCAGTCTGTCATCCAGGCTGGAATTCAGTGGCAGCATCATTGCTTATTGCAGTCTCCAGCTCCTGGTCTCAAGTGATCCTACTGCCTCCACCTCCTGAGTAGTTGGGACTACAGGTGCATGCCACCCCACCAACCTAATTTTTATGCAACACTTTTTTAGAGACAAGAAACAAGGTCTCAATTTGTTGCACAGGCTGGTCTCAAACTTCTGACTAGACGCATTCCTACCACCTGCGCCTCCCAAAATATTGAGATTACAGGCATAAGCCACCACACCCAGCCCTTGTACAACTTTATAACACCATAATTCACACAGTATTTATCTCTTCTGGAATTCCATATAATAAATATTGTCATACATTATATTCTTTTTAATTTTTAATATATATAAACATTGAATAAATGGCCATTGAGACATAGCTTACCTCTTGGAATTTGTATGTAGAGATCATTCCTAGATTTTAATTTTTGAATTTATGTTTTACAAAACCTGTTACTTCTTCCAGAAAAATTATTTAAAAAGAAATGAATGTTCACTTTGATTTTTAAATAATGTTTTTATGTGATACCTTCTTTGGCTATCCTATATTTATAATAAATATAAATAATTGTAGTGAAACTAGTATTTTGCAAAGTAACCATTATCAACATCACAGAATTAGTAGCAACAATGGTTCATAATTTCTGAACGCTGATATCAGTATGTCTGCTAAATATTTGCACTATGCCATTTCATCTTCACAATAATCCGTTGAGGTGGCTTTTGTTATTATGTGTTTAATAGATTACAAAATTGAGGTCAAAGTGTTAGTTAATTTTCCCAAGCAATGAGAGTAAGAAATGCAAACGGAAGTCTCAAACAGGAGCCAAGATTAAACCAATACTAAGATTCTTATTATTACTTAGAGATACAGAGTTTTGCTGAATTGTGATTAGTCTGCCAGTATCTAATTACAACAATTAGCAAGGATTTTATTTATTCAGTTTTTATCTTATAGCATCAATATCCTCAAAATTTTATTCATTTCTATTTTATAAAATAAACAGCCCTTTGTTAGATTCAGTTTCATTAAAATCCATATTTACTCCAAAAATGTACATCAAGAAAAATATATTTGGTTTACTTAATTTGTATTGACTCAACAGTTACATTCAAATGATAAATTAGATGTCTGTATATTTTACATGCAAACTAAAACACTTTCAGGGTGAAAGAGTCTCTAATGATAAATGTGACAAGACAACAGGAATAATGTGAGAATATTTCACCAAACCAGGATATAAGTTAACCCACTCATAGTGAATAAACTAGAGTTCTCTGCAGTCCCAAATAATTAGTATAACTGAACTCTTTCTGTTTTGCTTCATGAGTAGTTTAAAAAATATATCCATTGTTCAGTAGTTCAAACGTTAAAATTTTAATTCATAGCCACCTGTTGCCTCATTTGAACATATATTTAGTCAAAAATGTTATGTTCCTAATTGTAGAATTATAGATTGAAGAATCACTAGAGCACTACCTTTTACTTCTGTAACAGTTGATTGAAAACACATTATTCACTGTGTTTCTTTTATAGACGAGACTTCATAAATTTGGTTTGAAGCAGATCCTAGATCTTTGCACAGGTATCCCACTGCCTCAAAAGGAGTTAAAGTCTTGAAGAGAGAGATCATGTGATCAAAAGGGACTTGCCTTGTCTTGGATGAGACTTTGAACTTGTACTTTGGGTTAATGCTGGAACGAGTTAAAATTTTGGGGAGCTGTTGGGAAGGCACGATTGTGTTTTGCAATGTGGGGACATGAGATTTGGGAGGGGGCAGGGCTGGAATACTATGGTTTGGCTGTGTCCCCACCCAAATCTCATCTTGAATTGTATATTCCATAAACTCCACGTGTCATGAGACCTGGTGGAAGATAATTGAATCATGGGGATGGGTTTTTCCTTGTGCTTTTCTCATGATAGTAAACAAGTGTCATGAGATCTGATCATTTTATAAAGGCAGTTCTCCTACACATGCTGTCTGGACTGCTTCCATGAGTTAAGATTTTGTGGGACTGTGGGACTGTTGGAAAGGCATGACTGTACTTTAAAATGTGAAGACATGGGATTTGCAAGGGACCTGGGGTGGAATGATATGGTTTGGCTGTTTCTCTACCCAAATGTCAATTTGAATTGTAGCTCCCATAATCTCCAGATGTCCTGGGAGGGGCCTGGTGGGATGTAATTGGATCATGGGGGTGGGTTTTTTCCTGTGCTATTCTTGTGATAGTGAATAAATCTCACAAGATCTGATAGTTTTGTAAAGGGCAGTTCCCCTGCATGAGCTGTCTTGCCTGCCAATATGTAAGACATGCCTTTGTTCCTCTTTCACTTTCCACCATGATTGTGAGGCCTCCTCAGCCATGTGGAACTGTGAGTTCATTAAACTTCTGTTTCTTTATAAATAACCCAGTCTTGGGTATGTCTTTATTAGTAGCATGAGAACAGACTAATACCGGGGTGGGGAGGGTCAATCAGAGGATAGCATGCAAATCGGGAAGACAAGTTCTCAATCTAGTTCGAGGATTTAACTTACAGCTTGGCTTTCAGGCTTTAAACTATGTTTGGCTTGGAGGTGGTGTTTCACTGGGGACCTGCACCTCTCTGCCTAAGCATTTGCCTGGCTCCTGTTGCTATCACCAGTGAAGTAGCCAGCAGAACAATTATACTCTCTAGATTAAGAATAGAAATAATCTAGCTCAGAGATAGCCAAGTGTTATCCCCAAGGTTATATATTAAGGAAGAGGCATCCAGAAAGGAAAATCTGAAGTATAATTCCAGGCTTCTTTCAACCACATCTTCAAAAATTACCAGGACAGAATATATTTGAAGATGTATGAGGTATAACTCAAAACTTACTCAAATTCTTAAGACCATTTCCTTTTTATAAGGTTAAAAATATTTATGAAAATATATTTATTGTAATATTAAATCATATCTTGGAGGGTCTGAGCCAAAATGCACACAGATTTCTTGTTTCCAATAAACTAACTGCACAGAGTATTTGCAAAGGCTCAGCAGCAATTTTATATGTGGTGAGCATGATTCATCATCCATGCCCATCCTGATAAATAACTCCCACATAGTCTACTTTGCTGCATATTCATTTTTGTCCTGCTTTAAATGCCCATTTTAAAAGTCATTAAACTAATAGGAGTGTGTGCTGGGAAAACTCGTAATAAGCTAAATGCGAATACAGCTTTTGCTTACTTTCTTTTTACTCTTAGACTTGAATAAATTGGGAGGCTATATTAGTCATGTCTGTATCTTTATTGGTCTTTTGTAGTCTTCAGGCTGGAACTCTAGAATAATGATCTTAATCAATTCCCTGGACCCGTGGAAGAAACCTCAGTTGCTTCACCTAAAACATAAGAAAAGGAGGTATTTTAATTATTTTGTTGTCATTCAGATCAAATGGGGTCCTGTATAGGAAACATCTCTAAAAGATGTAAAAATTCTTGACATATAAAGCAATAAATGATTGTAAGTCATATAATAAGTTTGTAAATGTTAGGAGCTTCATATGTGGTTATCGTCCCTTTTTTATGATATATTTTTTGTGTACCGGGAAGTATATTACAGAATAGATAAAGAAGAAAGGCAAGAATGTTACAATAGGTTTGAGTGTTTTTAGTTATCCTTTCAATAAAAATAGTAGTATGAATTTTTTTCTGTGATTTATTTTGAACCAATTTATTTATTTCTAATTAAGTTTTTCCTGGTGGTTTATTGTTCTTCATCATCTCCCTGAACAGAGACCTTCTGATCTTGAAACTCTATAAACTAACTGAGATTCTATTTAGGTAATTCCTGCTAAATAGAGTGAAAAATAGAGTTAGATTGATTTATGTACCCAGTGAAGGTAAATTGCCCTTACCAAATAAATATATAATGCTTATAAAAAATTAAGTTGCTATATAAAAGTATAATTTCTGACCCAGGCTATTTTAATCTGACATCTTTTACTACTGAAATTTGAGCTAATATGGGAAATTATTTTAATCTTTATGTTTCACTTGCTCTTTGAACATTTGAAACTTATTTTCACAAGATTCTTCTTGAAACTTTCTCCTATTTGGCTTATGCAAAATATGTTTTGTGTATTTTTTCTCATTTGCATATGGAAATTTCTTCTCAATATTCATATCTGATTTTTCTCTTCTTCCCTTTTTTTCCTCTCTCTATCTCCTTTTCTCTGTCCCTGTCTTTCTCTGCCTCTGTCTTTGTTTCTGTCTGTCTGTCTCCCTCTCTCTGTTTCTTTCTGCATTCTAAATTGACTCCCTTGATTATTTAACTTAGTCTTTGGTTTACTAGTTTTACCCTGAAGGCTCCTAGATCTATAGCTCCAGCCCAGGTCACTTTCTTGAGATCCAGACAAATATATAACTAAATACTGTACATTTTTTCTTAAATTTCCCATAACTATGTGAAACTAAATGTACCAAAAATAAAATGTGCTTTTCATTTTATCTTATATTGATTTATGATGCCATAAACTGTCCACTTGCCCAATCTAGAAATTAGAAAAGCAACTTAGACTACTCTTGTACTTTAATCTCTTTTTAAAGATCTATATGCAATTAATTTCCATATGTTCAACATAATATTATTACTATTTCCACCTCTGCATTTTTGATCTCATAAAATCTGGGATATTTGTATGTAATAATATAGTATCTAGCATTCTTATGTAAGTTCACATGGCCAGGGGTGCTTTACCAAATGATCCTCCTAACTCCAAACTTGATATCTCACTAAATTGAAAATAGAGTTATTTTATTTCCATGCTTAAAATCATTCAGCAGTCTCTTTTAACTACAAAATAAATTTTAAACTCCTAGAAATTGAATAAAAAATTCCTTATGATTTGATTCCTTTACCTTTGCAATCTTTACCTCATTGTTTTCTCTCACATCTTACATTACAGCAGTGTTAGACGACCTCTATTTTCAGACACACATTTTCCATCTGCCTGAAATGTGCCCTTCCCATATATATTCTATACACCTCGAGGTTCAATTAAAGTATCACTTCTAAAGGGGGGTCGTTCACTGCATATATAGTTTTAAAAAGCTAACTTGATTAGTTAGTGTTAAGAAATTTTTGACAAATAATTTACCCCTCCTCCCCAGCTACACGGAAATTGTAATACATTTCGACAGATGTTACATGGTTTCTGCTATGAGTAGACTGTCTACTATGTGTTATAGTTTCTCATAATGTGGTGATGATACAAATGAACTCTCTCTGTTCTTATGCAACTTACTATATTGTAAAAAGTATAATCTAGAGACATAAAGCAGCCTAAACCACATCAATGAGGAGGACTTTGTAAAGAGGGTGGTTGGCATGGCATTCAAGGCTACCACCACCACTCTTCTAAGAGAAATTGAAGGCCTGAACCAAGTTACAGACAACAAACATTTTAAGGAGAAGTGTATTTGAAATACTCTGCTGAGGTACAATTAACAGAAGGTTTTGATCATTTAGCTATGAAAAAAGAAGGCAGTTGAGATAATTTGGAGTAATTGAATTTTCTACCTTAGGTTTACCTTCTGTGTGCAGACTAAAATCTTTCACTACTGTTTAAAGTTAACTTTATACAATTGTTAAGGCATTCTTATACAGCTTGTCAAAAACCAGCAACAATCCTTATACACTTGGGCTCAAATTTAAAATGACATCTTTATTTTTATAATTGCAAATATGGGAGCCAATTTAATTATTTCTATAAGAATCCAGTTTTTTTCTGCTACAAGTGGCCAGGTTTATATATGAGTGCTGACTACCAGAAATAATTAAGCAAAATACAAAGTGAAGAAAACTGTTCTAAATATGTTTTCCTTTTGATAGAAAAAGACATAGAAATGATAATTAAAATGTCTAAATATTTTTAAAGAGGTAAATGAGATCTTACATAGTTTTCTGAATATATATTAGGTATAAATACATCCTTCAAGTATTACAGATGGTAAATTATTCAATTCTTATATCAGAAATTTTATAGAGCACATTTTATTATTCACATGCTGAATTTCTCAGTGGAATCCTTATTTTCAAATCATGAGCTTAAAGAAGCTTCGAAATTTGAACATAAAGGATATTAAAGATCATTGCCCAATTCTTTAGTTTTGCAGGTATCAACATAAAACTCCGAAACTTTGTAAAACTGAGCAGAATGATTTCCTAAGGATAGATACCTCATTATTGCAAGGCTGTGAGTAGAGCTCATACCTCTCCATCTATAATGGAGATCTAGCCTGAGCTATAAATAATTCTATAACTTATTTTATAGAATTATTTTAGAACTTATTTTAGAAAAGTTTTCCCAAAATATTTCATAAAATTTCCACTCCAAACCAGATGATTTAATGTAAGAATGCAAGATATTTCATCTATGAGCAACCAGTTTGACAAGGCTCATTAAGATGAAAATAGCTGAGAATATCTTCATCTTTTTGAAATTTGAGTACCTTTTTGTGACATCAAAGGCAGTTCTAATTTACTTCTACAACATAATTTCATATTTCTTCATATTAACTAAACTAACTAATTTGTCAGTTTTAAAACTTTTTCTTAATGTTTTTCTGATCACACAATGTTATTTGAAATTACAGATTGTTTTATTTTTATTGCCTCTTTCCATTTAGTATATTGTAAATTTTGTAAAATGCATGTGTCTTGTCTGCTCTGTTTGTTGCAGTAAACCCAGAGCTTAAAATAGTGACTATAATTGACACTTAATGTGTATTTTTCTATAGATGAATAGCTTTGGTGGTTTAATGGATCTTCTAGACTTATCCTAATCTAGTTACTTAAATGGAAATTATTTTGATTTTAAAGCATAACTGTAAATTGGCTTTAAATATTAGTAAATAAAAAAGGAATATCTGAAAGTACCACTATAAAAATACTAAAAATATTAATATTAATACTTAAAACCATCTGATTTCTCACTCCAGGTTCAAGACAATGTGCTTAATGCTGTATAGAGTAAATACTAAGTAAATACTTGCTGAATAACATAAATTATTGTTTAAAATAACTCATGCTAGAAATTTATTATTTCCTGGTCTTCTTTTATAAAACACACAGACATACACTCTCGGATATAACTCAAAATCATTAGTTCCCTCAAAATAAAGGAACTGATATTTGTAGGAAGCTGAACAATTAGAAATGTGTTAGCTGAAAGTAAACAGGTAAATTAACGTAGCAAGGCAAGAAGGTCACCACTCACCCATTCCTTTTTGACATTATACTGGAAGTCTTAGCTAATGTGATAAGACAAGAGAAAGAAATATAAGATATACAGACTCGGAAGGAAAAAATAAAACTCTCTTTGTTCACAAATTATAGGATTATTTATGTATAAAATCTAATCTACAATAGGACTTGTTGAACTAATAAGTGATGATAGCAAGATTACAAGATACAAAGTTAATATGAAAAATTCCTGTCTTATACAATGGAAATTAACAAAGAATAAAATAAATAGATTTCCATGCTTATAAATAGGAAGACTAATACTATTATCAAGATGTCAGTTTGCTAAACACGATGTATAGATTCAATGCAAACCCAGTAAAAATCCTAGCAAGTTATTTTGTGGATATCGACAAACTAAACTTAAGTTTATAATGGAGATGCCAAAGACCAAGAATAGTAAATATTGCAACACTGAAGGAGAAAACCAAAGTCAAAAGACTGGCACTATGCAACTTCAGGATTTACGATTACCCTACAGCAATCAAATCAGTGTGGTATTGGTGGATGAATAAGCAAATAAATCAATGGCGTAGAATAAACTGGTCATAAATATGCCCTCATGAATTTGGTCAACTGATCACTGGAAATGGTGAAAAGGCAATTCAATCAATGCCAAAAAGATAGACTCTTCAACCGGTGGTGTTGGAACAACTGGATATCTACATGTAGGACAACAACAACAACAACAAAACTGAAAATATAAAAATATGAATTTAGACAGAGAACTTATAACTTTTGCCAAACAAATGTTAAAATGGATTATGGACCTAAACGTGATATGCAAAACTGTGAAACTTCTAGAAGGTAACACAGGAGAAAACCTAGATTAGTATGGTTTGATATAATTCTAAAATAATTAACCATAAAATAAATAATTGATAATATGAACTATTCTAAAACTAAAAATTTTTGCTCTGTATATACATTGTTAAGACAACGAGAAGACAAGCAACAAACTGGGAGAAATATTTCCAAATTGTATCTGAAAAGGGCTGTTATTCAAAATAGACAAAAAGCTATTAATATTGAGCAATAAAATTAAATTATGGGCAAATTAATTTTTAAAAGTTTAAAAATGGGCCAAGGATTGGATTACTTTACAATTTAAGACATACAGATGGCAAAGTAGCATATCAAAATATTCAACATAATACATCATTATGGAATTGCAAATTAAAACAAGATACTTTACACACCAAACACTGAACATCAAATGCTTATAAGAATGTAGAATAATAATAGTTTTCATTTATTGATAATTTTACCCACTTTAAAATATAATTTGGCAATTTCTCTCGAAGCTAAGTATATGCTTACCAAAGGTTCCAGCAGACAGACTCGTTGGCATTTACCTACATAAGGTAAAAAGATATGCCCACACAAAAACCTACATGTGTTGTTTACAGGAGCTTTAACCATAATTGCCAAAACTTGGAGGTAACCAAGATATCCTTCAACAGATAACTGGATAAACTATGATATATCCATACAATAAAATATTTATTCAGTGTTATTTACAGTGATCTTGTAAGCCATGAAAAGATAACAGAAGAACCTTAAAGGCATTATACTAAATGAAAGAAACCAATCTGAATGCTACATACTGTGTGATTACATCTATATGACGTTCCGAAACAGGTAAAACTAGGGAGACAGTAAAAGTATCAGTGGTTGTCAAAGGTTTGTTGGGAGGAGAGGAAAATAGGAGGAGCACAGGGAATATTGAGGGTAGTGAAACTCTTCTGTACTATATTCTAATGGTGCATATATGTTATGTCTTTGTCAAAACCCATTGAATATACAACACCGAGAGTGAACCTTAAGGTAAACTATGGATTTAAGGTGATAATGATGTGTCAATGTTGTTTATTAATTGCAACAAATGTACTGAGATTGATAGAAGCAAATAAATATGTTCCAGAGGAGATATAGCTCTAGATTGCTTAGTTTGCATACCAGAGATATACTCCCAGTTAGACTTTTGCTACTTTTAAGAATTATCTAGCCCCGGGAAGGGCAGTCTTTTCCCAGACATAAAGGCATTTTTAAATGCCAAAACATTGTAATATGCAGAAAATTAAAGAGTCTTTACAATACAAATAATCTCCTGAATAGGACTTAGATTTTAGCAACAGTCTACCAGTAGGGTTTAAGTCACATAATAAAGTGAACCATATGTATAACTATTATTAATCTTTTAGCTAGAGTATTAAGGATTCTTATTCAACAGAAAATGTAAATATATAGAATTAACTTCACTTTTTTCTCCTACTTTTACTTCTAATTCAATGTAAGTTTCTACTTCTTTGGGTGCATTATGCCCTGAAGTAGATCTTAATCACATATCATAACAATTCAAAAAGATTGTGGCTAGCAGCATTTAAGTCCAACAAATAACTTGTCCTGAGTTTGAAGGTGGTTAATAAATTTTATATCAGGGAAAATCATTGAATTTCATTTCTAACACCTTAAACATAGATCAAAATAAGGTTGGATTCAAGTCAATATAAATCACAGCGGAGTCTGAAATGATAATATACTATGTATGTCAGTGCTAGCATTTCTGTCAGAAATCTCTCTAAATATCAGAAAAATCTATTTTGAGGATGCTGTGTGTACTGCAGAAGAAAATTTATAATCCTTTTTTTATTGAATGCTGAATGTTTTATGTATCAATAAGCTACCTGCCATGACAAAGTTGAAAAAGCTTAGTAATAGACTAGTATGAGGTAAGAGATGAGATTAAGTTTAGTTATTATTTATTATTTTCAATATGCATATTGTTGACTGGGATTATTAATCCTTTATAATTTTATGCCAATATATACAATATACACAATTTGTTTCTTAAAAGTACCAATATTTGGGTTAGATCTTTACTTATTTTACTTTTAACACCCATGTTGATCAATATATTTCAAGCTATAGATACTAGCTTTTTCATCATAGTTCCTAGGGAAAGTTGTGCTTTTTAACACAAATAATTCAATTCAATTCACTTATTCATGCATTATTCAAGAAATATTTGTGAACATTATAATATGCCAGCATTGTTCCGCAAACTAGAATCAAAGCAGTGCTCACAATAGTCAAAAAATTCTTTTATAAAACTTACATAGTAATTATTGGGGCAGATGGATATGAACACACACACACCAACACATTCACACACACACTCACATGCACTTAGGTGTATATATATAAACCAGGTGGGCATAAGTATTATGACAAGAAATAAAGCAGGGAAAACGATGGGGAATGGTGGCAAGGTCTGTTTTGCCTCAGATGATCATAGAGTATCTCTCTGATAAGGTGATATTTCGAAGTTTCTGGGTAGTTTTTCAATAAGAAGGAATAGCATGTAGAACAATGTAGAAGTAGGACTATTCTGAGCATATTCAAAAAACAGAATATTAACTTCAGACCAATGTGGAGTTAATATACTGATTTCCCAGACAGTGCAGGGTCTGATCACATGGCAGTTTTGTCAGTAGAGGTAAGACTTATGGAAGGTTTTGAATGGACAAACAATATGTTTATATATACATAAGTCCACAATATATATTTTGTATACACATACACACATACATACCTTTTTCTTTTTCTTTCTTTCTTTCTTTTTTTTTTTTTTTTTTTGAGACAGTCTTGCTCTGTCACCAGGCTGGAGTAGAGTGGCGCGATCTTGCTCACTGCAACTTCTGCCTCCCAGGTTCAAGAGATTCTTCTGCCTCTGCCTCCTGAGTAGCTAGGACTACAGGTTCATGCCACCACCCCCAGCTAATTTTTGTATTTTTAGTAGAGACAAGATTTCACCATGTTGGCCAAGATAGTCTCGATCTCTTGACCTTGTGATTTGCCCTCCTCAGCCTCCCAGAGTGCTGGGATTACAGGCATGAGCCACTGCACCCGGCCCATACTTTTTATTTAGAATAGTTTTATACTTTATGAAAGATAGTGCTGAGGGTACAGAGAATTACCATGTACCTCACATGCAGTTCCCCCATGATTTACATCTTACTTCAGTATGATACCTTTGTTATAATTAATGAAATAGTATTGATACATACAATAATCCCATTAATAACATCACTACGTTTAATACTTTTTAAAAAAATTTCTTAGTCTTAACCTGATGTCCCTTTTCTGTCCTAAGATCTCATTCATCCAGGATTCCACATCACATTTAATCATCCTGTTTCCTCAGGTTCCTGTTGGTTTGACTGTTTGTAAAATATTCCTTACTTTGATGACCTTGACAATTCTGAGAGGTCCTGGTCAGATATTTTATAGAATGCTCCTTAATTAGGATTGTCTGATTTTTTTTTCTCATGATTAGACCAGATTATGGGTTTCCAAAGAAAATTCAGAGGTCAAGTGATATTTTTATATAAAAGATACATACTATCAATGAGACTAATCCCAGTATATATTAAGCTTGATCATTTGGCTGAAGTGCTATTTGTCAGGTTTCTCCATGTAAAGATGGCCATTTTCCCTGCTTTGTCTATTGAACTTTTAGAGAAAAGTCACAACGAGATGCCCATGCTTGAGACATAAACCTTGCACACAAATAATCTGCCAGAATTGTTTGAATTTTTTCTGCAGAAATAATTTGTTTCTTCTCCCCTATTTATTTATTTAATCATTTATATCTTTATGGACTCATAAATACCTATTTTATGCTTTAAATTAAAATCCAACATTATTTTACTCAAAATTTTCTAGCTTTGGCTATTGGAAACTCTTTCAGTAGGCTTCTGCATTCCTTTGATATATTACCAGGTATATATGTGTGAATGTGAGTTTGTTGTGGATGGTAATTTTGTTATCATTTGTTTGGTTTTAATGTGTCCTACGTTTCTGTCACTCTAAGAATAAATATACTTCAAGCTCACATTTTAAATTTCTTAGCCAAGCCTAGCATCAGCCATTTTTCCAAAAAGCCCTAGTTCCTTTATGTGAAGTATAGTATTAGAAGCCAAGATCTAGAAGCTAGATATGTTCC